ACCGTGGGATTACTGTACTTGATTGGCCAGCAAACTCGCCTGACCTTAACCCCATAGAGAATCTATGGGGCATTGCCAAGAGAAAGATGAGAGACATGAGACCGAACAATGCAGAAGAGCTGAAGGCCGCTATTGAAGCATCCTGGTCTTCCATAACACCTCAGCAGTACCACAGGCTGATAGCTTCCATGCCACGCCACATTGAGGCAGTAATTGCTGCAAAAGGTGCCCAAACCAAGTACTGAGTACATATGCAGCTTCTACTTTTCAGAGGTGCGATATTGTTCTATGTACAATCCGTGTTTTATTGATTGCATGGAATATTCTCATTTTCTGAGATTGTGGATTTGGGGTTTTCATGAGCTGTAAGCCATAATCATCACAATGATGACAAATCACGGCTTGAACTATCTTGCTTTGCATGGAATGAGTCTCATATATTAGTGTCACCTTTTAAGTTGCTGCACTGAAATAAATGAATGAATGCACCATATTCTCATTTTTCGAGTTACACCTGTACATAGCACCCCTATTCATTCACCAAAAAAAGTGTAGTGTAAAAAAACTCGAAGTAATTTTTGGCAAAACACATATAAAGAACAATATCCCCCTGATGTAGATCCATTGATGATCCAATCACGATACTCGTTGTCATCGCTGACTCAAATAAAAAACAAAGCTCCCCTCCTGCCGTCTGACAGCTCTGCCGCCTCCCACTTCTAAATAAACTAAGGAGCGCTACCACCCTGTGACATCACTGGGTGGCCTTGCCCTCTTGTGACATCACCAGTACAACATGCCTCGGTCAGTGACATCACCAATACAACATGCCCTGGTCAGTGACGTCAACGAGTGGCAACACCCCATAGTATATTTAGTGGCAGGAGGCAGCAGAGCTGTCAGACAGAGGGGAGTCTTCATTGGGAGCGGAGCTTTTCTTTCTGAGTCAGCGGTGACAGCGAGCATCGTGATTGATGATGGATCTACACCGGGGGGACATTTTGCTTTAGTTTTGCTTTTTTTAATAAAGGACTTGTCAAAACTGCCTGCTGTCTATTTAACAGAATACTTTTTTGGGGTGAATAATTAGGGGTACCATGTACCTCATACTCATTCACATGGGGTGAGGGATCTGAGGTCCCCCTTGTTACATTTTGTAAGTCCTCTGCCTGCAAACCCCCACAGCCACTAGCCTGGGTTGTGGGGAAGAGTCCCTTGTCCTCATCAACATGGACAAGGTGCTCTGAGGGAGCAAAGCCTCCCCCTGCCCCAGAGCATCCACTCCATGTTAAGGGCATGTGGCCTGGTATGTTTCAGGAGGGGGGGTCGCTTGCTTGGCCCCCCTTTCCTGATCTGCTGAGCAGCATGCTCAGATAGGGGTCTGGTATGTATTTCTTTCATTTTTTTCAAGGGTCCCCCTCAAAATCCATACCAGACCCGAGGGGGGGGGACCCTACAACATTTTCTTAATATTTTGTTGCAGATATTTCTTTTTTTTTTTTTCAGATTTATCGGTTGATTAGGACGTGGCGGCCGCTCGCTCCCTAACAACCATGTTGTTTACTGGTTGTTAAGGATGCCAGCGGCCGCCCACTCTTTACCAAGCAGTACACATTTCCTGAATGCCGCATGTCTCCACCACTAATTAATGACCGCATGCATTTCATTCTTTATTTCCTTCTGTGAATGTAACGCCTGTTCATGCGGTATTTACTGAGCGTGTTCAGTGTTTGTGGTCAATACCGCAACACGGGATAGGAAATGGACAGTTTCAGGATGGCATGCGGTATTTAGGGGAAATGTACCCACATATCACATGTGATCTGCTTCTGTGAAGGGAGACAATGTGTGGATTGTGTGTGTGATGTCACAATCATAAATCTTACATTTTACAGATGATATTTTCTCTCATTTCCTTGATTTAGAGTGGAGATCCAATCGATATAGAATTTGAGGTGAAAGCAGAAGAAGAAGAGGCGTATGTGAGGGATGATCAGCAGTCTATGGAGGAGGATGGAATAACGGGGACATTTATAGAGGAGGACACTCCTACAGAGATCAGCACAGGTGGGTCATGAACACTAAATCCATTCCTCCACCCATACTGCTCACTGATTGGTCCAGAGTAGGGCGGGGACTGGGTGATATCAGCCTGTAATCCCCTGGTCACTTTCCTGAGCTGTGTTCCCCGTCCTGTATTCCTGGATTTCTCTCGGATAATCTTCCTTCTCTGTGCTGCAGACACAATTTATGTCTCTAGACTGGATTTATGGAGGTTCTGGGGATCAGCTGGCAGCAAAATGTTCACTTTTACTATAAGCATTGCATAATAGTAGGCACCCAGGACATGTGACTGGGGTCTCCTGCCTTGTGCCTGACTCTTCCAGGGGACCTTCTCTGTTATCTGCTGGCTGTGCCGGGTGGAGGGATATGTCTGTAGTGTCTCAGACCCAAGTCACTGAGTGCAGTCTCAGGAGATGGGAGACAAGCAACCCTTTAACCTCCTTGGCGGTTATTCCCGAGTGTAGTTCGGGGTAACATTTCAGTACCACAAACGGTAACCCCGAGCTACATTCGGGAATACCATGCGGCACTGCTCCGGCATTTGTTCTTCACTTTCCTTACCCTGCGCTCCCACGATGTGTCCCCTGCAGCGTCCCTGGCCATCTCCTCCGGCCGATGCCGGCATCCGGCTTCTGTGTCCTGTCCCTGTGACGTCGGGACGTACGGGCGCCGCTGGCGGCGGGAAATTTAAAAATTTTTAAAAATGTTCTTTTTTTTTTTTTTTACATTTTACATAGTAAAACATTGCTGTTTCAACCCATTTCACATACATCTTGTCCCTAATGCTTTGTCCGGCGCCCTGCCTGCATTTTTACTGTTCTTTCTGCCTGGAAACTTAGAAAAGTCCATGGCGTCCAAAAAAGCGTCCCTTTACGTCAAAAGTGGTTTTAGACCGGCTAGAGAACAGCGATAGTAAATCAGAACCACTTGCAGAATTGAGTGATAATGATTGGTGGGGGAAAATCGTCATCAGACACTGAAAACGATTTTGCGACTTTGCTCAGCGATGTACGAACTTGGCGCTATATTTCACATTTCAGTGTTTTTGGTTTGATTATATTATTGAATTAAATGTTATTATTATTATTATTATTATTTTTTATGATTTATTTTTATTAAATTATAATTTATGATTTCGTGTTTCAATTTTTATCATCCCCGGGATGTTTACTAGACTCTTGTCCGGACAGATTTCAGTGAGTTATTCCTAAGAATTACAGGCCTAAAATAAAAAAAAAAATACATATTTACATGCAAAAAAATGGTACCGCTTTCAGCACCAAAAATCGGAAAGAATCATACGCCAGGGAGGTTAAGGACCTTTAATTACTGAATAACAATATTATGAGTCCTGACCATTACACTATATAACTTATATTGTACATTACATACTCCTGACCCCTGCACTATATATCCATCCGGCTCTGAGGGAGGACGTGCATGAAGGCCGGCCTCACCGCTGTTCCCCCTCCAGCCACCACGCTGTTCCAGCCGAGAGCTGACCTCCCCACATCGCAGAGAGATGACGGCTCTTCACCCGGGTTACCACCCCACCGTTAACGATTGTTAACCACGGTTTTCATGCTTATGATTACTTCACACATGTGAGTGTTTCTACATTTAGACTTGAATTAAAAAGACTTATTGCACTTAGAGGCGCTTCTCTCCTTTTTCTCATCTACAGAAGTTGCTACAGCTTATTTGGAAGCCTTGCCCTCAGTGCCACACGGAATCCTACGCTCTTCATATAGTAGCCACTAATACCACCATCACCCCATACTACCATTTCCAGGACTTTGCAGTGTTTGCGCTGTTACAACCCTTCCTCATTTTTTCTGAATCATTATATACTCTGTGTTGTACATTACATACTCCTGACCCCTGCACTATATACTCTGTTGTACATTACATACTCCTGACCCCTGCACTATATACTCTATGTTGTACATTACATACTCCTGACCCCTGCACTATATACTCTATGTTGTACATTACATACTCCTGACCCCTGCACTATATACTCTATGTTGTACATTACATACTCCTGACCCCTGCACTATATACTCTATGTTGTACATTACATACTCCTGACCCCTGCACTATATACTCTATGTTGTACATTACATACTCCTGACCCCTGCACTATATACTCTATGTTGTACATTACACACTCCTGACCCCTACATTATATACTCTGTTGTGCATTACATACTCCTGACCCCTGCACTATATACTCTATGTGGTACATTACATAGTCCTGACTTCTGCTCTCCCTCCTCCCCCCCACTGCTATATATACACATAATATGGATTCTCTTTGTTACACCCATTTCCTACCAGCTGGACATTTTCCAACTTTGGACCCTTAAAACAGAAAGTGCAGTTCTTCTTATGTTGGGAAGATGGCGATGAGTGATAGAGGGGGGTGGGGACCCTCGTCCTATAATCCCCTCATCACTGTTCCTCCTATAAAAGACAGTTCTGGTTGTTTCCTCACTCTCTGACTAAGGTCCATGAATAAAGAAATGACCTGGTAGGAGATCAGAGGAGCCATTTCCTAGTTCCCTTGAGGGTGGAATTGTAAGCTCCTCAGAGACCAAGCTGCCTGATGTGGGCGGAGTCCTGGTTTGGGGGAACCAATCAGCTCCTGTCTAGTAATCCTCTTTGTCTTCGTATTTTAGTCCATGTCCGGGAGATGAGGAAAACCTCCGAGGATTGTCTCACTTTGTCTCCAGACTGGAAAGTAGAAGATGAGGACATCACACAGTATAGTCCAGGAGAAAACCCGGCTCCCTCCAATGTCCATCCGGCACCACCCAGTGTAGATGGACCATCGGATTCCTCGTATCCTGAAAATCCTCAGACTGTGCGGGACCAGGCCGGCCTTCCAACAGTGAAGACATTCTTCTGTACGGAGTGTGGGAAGGGTTTCCTTTATGAATGCCGTCTTAATGTGCATAAAAGATCTCACAGGGGGGAGAAGCCATATTCTTGTCCTGAGTGTGGGAAATGTTTTTCAGAGAAGTCCAGTATTTACAGACATCAGAGATCTCACACAGGGGAGAAGCCATATTCCTGTTCTGAGTGTGGAAAATGTTTTTCCACTGAAGTCCCAACTTTACACACATCAGAGATCTCACACGGGGGAGAAGGCATATTCCTGTCCCGAGTGTGGGAAATGTTTTTCACTGAAGTCCAATCTTTACATGCACCAGAGATCTCACACGGGGGAGAAGCCAGTTTCCTGTTCTGAGTGTGGAAAACGTTTTTCAGAGATGTCCGGTCTTCATAAACATCAGAGATCTCACACTGGGGAGAAGCCGTATTCCTGTTCTGAGTGCGGGAAATGTTTTTCACAGAAGTTCAGTCTTCATCAACATCAGAGATCTCACACGGGGGGAGAAGCCGTATTCCTGTTCTGAGTGTGGGAAATGTTTTTCACAGAAGTCCACTCTTTACAGACATCAGAGATCTCATGTGGGGAAGAATCCACTTTCCTGTCCTGAGTGAGGGAAGTGTTCCTCACTGAAGTCCTGTCTTCCTGTACATCAAAGATCCCACACAACCCTGGAGGTGTATTAGTGTCTTCAGTGCGGGAAATGTCTTCTAGATGAATGTTGCTGGACATCCCAGCTCTCATGTGGGGAAGAAGAAGCACACCCTGATATACACCTCAGATATACTCCATGGCTGATCTTCATCATGGAAGAAACCGTTCATAAGGAGATGAGAGGCCCCCAAAGACATGGATGAAGTGCAGTAAATGTCGGGGTGCAGAGTGGTCAGTAGATCCTGGAAATGAAGGACACAACTTCAGCCCTTCTTGGGTGTCGGAGTTGCGTTTCCTGATAATGATATAGCGGGTTACAGAGCTAGAAGCCGGGAGAGCCCAGATCTCGTTATCGGGGAACTTTACACAGACAACAAGAACTTCTGAAGTTGATGTCCTTCATTTCAAGGCTCTACAGAACAGTGGTGACCCCGAAGCGTCTCTCTGTCTTCAGTCCATCCTTCTCCCATCCCCCAACAGGAGGGAAGGAGAACTCCGCCCCAAACTACTAGGGGGGAACTTTCCTCTCATTATTTCCCTTGGCTTCTGTGTGGGTTTGGGTGGTTGGAGGAGTGCGGCACGAGAGGGAACACAGCTTGTTGTTCTATGTCTACATATGGGGTCTGGGTAGAGGGGATCCACCGGAAAATATTTCTACTCTTTGATTTTGTGCAAATCGTTTCTGTTTTCACTTTGAAGGGCGATATGTGTGGTTTGTAAAAGGGTTTGGCCCAATAGATACCACCCCACTTAGAGAATAGATGAACTAATATGACCAGCATTCATTCAGCCATGTCACATGTTGGGATCTTTTCTACAATACTTTGTTATAATAATGGAACACGTTGTGTATTGTATTGTACACCAATAATAATGACTCCGCCCCCACATTCCAGACAAGGGATCTTCCTGACCAATCGGATTTCTGCCTTTACTTTCTGCAATCTTGTTGGAAGTGAAATTATAATAAAAAATGTATTGAACAAAAACAAAATGGTGTGTGTGTGCAATGATGACAAAGCTGTGTATCCAGAAATGGCTGGTCGGTGACACTTCCATATACAGCCCAATGAAGTGACAAGGAAGCTCAGGAACCCTTTGGAGGAACCCTGGCTGAGAAAGGCTGGACTAGGCAGTCACATATCTCTGCCCCCCTTGCAGGGTTCCCAACCCTCCGTGACTTTTATTACTGACACAACATGAACATTTACTGACGGAGGACATGTTTTTCCTGACATCCTGAAAAATGACAGAACTCCTGTTAGGATGTCAGACGATGGATATTGAATCCATATAACAGGACATGTGATCACTGACAGTTCCCAGAACAAGCCATCTGCCTGGTTTACACCTAATAATTCAATCCATGGTGACCACAAATCAGCCCAACGCAGACACATGAAAACCAAGTTCTGCTCGGCATGCCATGGAGAGTAATGGGCACGATCAGATGGGAGGGGCTTAGAAGAGGATGATGTCACAGACCCGCCCCCCTGATCACCTACCTCTAAATGAAGAAAGCAGCTGATTGGGTGAGTACACATTGCTGGGACCTTCATGCTTAGCTTCACAGTGCGGCAATTTTACCTTCACATGCCGAGTCTCACAGGTGGCACCGCCTGTCATCCATTGTGCTGAAATGTCATTGCAGGAACTCAGAATGGTCCCTCAGTAGTCTGTATGGCCCCCATGTGCTTGTATTCATGCCTGACAACATCGGGGGAGGCTCCTAATGAGATATCACCAGCAAGACTCCCATCATCCATCCACTACACATCTGCATCAGAGGCTGGTCAGGAGCTCTGAGGAAAGGGATTCATCCCTGAAACGCGTCAGCCATTTGACCGCACTGACACTTGGAACACCTTGCTTGCCGTTGTGGCCATCATCATTATGCAAATGATTTTTAGATACATGCTTCATCCGTGAGTCTGTTTTTATTTTTCACTCCTTTCAATAAGCCTTTGGATAATGCACAAGGTGTGTGCGCACCTGTTTATTTCTCTATCTAGTGGCTGTGATCCCCCCGTCTGAGGAGGGCTGCACCAGAAGCATTTCCTTTGGTTGTCGCTGTCAATTTCCTTTGGCTAAATCCCAATTGGTCGAATCTGTCTGAGGATGCACCAAAAATGTTGGTGTTCGCTCGACCTGGTTCCCTTGGCTTCCCTTTTGGCTGTGCATATCCCTGAGTTGCTGGAGACTACATACGATATCCGGTTTGGTTGCAACCTGGTGGCGTCGGATGGACCAAAACATGATATCCATAGAGGTGTTCTGTTGGATTTAGGTCAGGTAAGTGAAAGGATTGATTTTTCTTATCCCCTCAGAGACCCCCGGTCTGTGGAGAGATTCCTGGTTTATCAGCAGAATTCTGGGAACACCCCTGGAACACGGAAATAACGGCAGCTTATGTTCAGAGATGTTCAAAGTTTATTAGACATTACTAAAGATTATATAGGATATACAGAAATAATAAGGGGGGGAGCGAGTTCTAAAACTGTAACTTGTAAGTTTCCATCATGAGCTGACTACATGAAACATGACATATACATTTCTTGGTATAAAACTGTTTTTGCTAGTTTTCTGAGAAATAGCCGGGCAAAGAAAACTTCAGGGTCATGTTATCATTGTGTTATACATCCTTCAGCAAACTAAAACAGTTTCATTAAACTTCTAATATATCTGCAAAAAGCTAACTTAATACTTAAAATGGCGTACATCAACACAATGGAGGTTCTCTAGATCCTTAAACCTAGGGGCTTGATTGTATACACTTGTGGTCATGGAGGGGATTGGAGCACATGAATCACATGATTGGAGGGGATTGGAACACCTGAATCCAATGATTGGAGGGGATTGGAACACCTGAATCACATGATTGGAGGGCGGGCCCAATACTTGGGGCAATATAGTGTAATTCCACTCCTTAAATGAAAGTCTCCTGACATTTAGGGGTCTCTTCATAACAGATTTTCCCAGCAATTCCCCCGTTGATGGCGTGTATCTTCCATCTCTGGGAATGGGGTAAATCACAAATGCTATTAGACTGTTTACTGAGTTGGTCAAATCGTTTATAATGATTTTAAAAAAATAACTGCTTTCAGTTTCTAGATGAGCGAATTCCTATGATACTTAATGTCATCACTGGATGAATACAATACAACCGATATTCGTCACAGCTGGACACATGCTACTCACATTTGTCCAATAATTTGTTTAAAAAAAAGACCTTTAATTGTTTGTGAAATCTCCCACCACAAAAATGTACTCAGCCAATGACAGGTCTTCTCCTTCTTCTCCTGCCATCAATGGAAAACCCGGTCCCACACTTCATCTATGTCTTTGGGGACCTCTCATCTCCTTATGAACTGTTTCTTCCATGATGAAGATCAGCCATGGAGTATATCTGAGGTGTATATCAGGGGTGCTTCTTCCCCACATGAGAGCTGGGATGTCCAGCAACATTCATCTAGAAGACATTTCCCGCACTCAAGGCACTAGTACACCTCCAAGGTTGTGTGAGATCCCTGATGTACAGGAAGACAGGACTTCAGTGAGGAACATTTCCCTCACTCAGGACAGGAAAGTGGCTTCTCCCTTGTGTGAGATCTCTGATGTCTTTTAAGATTGGACTTCACTGAAAAACATTTCCCACACTCAGGGCAGATATACGGCTTCTCCCCCATGTGCAATCTCTGATGTTTGTAAAGATTGGACTTATCAGAAAAACATTTCCCGCACTCAGGACAAGAATATGCCTTTTCTCCCCCGTGTGAGAAATTTGATGTGTGTAAAGATGTGACTTCACTGAAAAAGATTTCCCACACTCAGGACAGAAATGCGGCTTCTCCCCCGTGTGCAGCCTCTGATGTCTGTAAAGATGGGAATTGTCTGAAAAACATTTGCCACACTCAGGACAGGGATATGGCTTCTCCCCCGTGTGAGATCTCTGATGTGTGTAAAGATAGGACTTCTGTGAAAAAACATTTCCCGCACTCAGAACAGGAATACGGCTTCTCCCCCGTGTGAGATCTCTGATGTATGACAAGATCTGTCATTTCTACAAAACATTTCCCGCATTCAGAACAGGAATACAGATTCTGATGTATGACAAGATACGTGTGAGATCTTTTATGCATAGTAAGTTTGGATTTAGAACAGAAACCCTTCCCGCACTTAGAACAGGAGAAGCTCTTCCCTGTTGGAAGGCCGGCCCGGTCCCGCACAGTCTGAGGTTCCTCAGGATACGAGGAATCCGATGGTCCATCTACACTGGGTGGTGCCGGATGGACATTGGAGGGAGCCGGGTTTTCTCCTGGACTATACTGTGTGATGTCCTCATCTTCTACTTTCCAGTCTGGAGACAAAGTGAGACAATCCTCGGAGGTTTTCCTCATCTCCTGGCCATGGACTAAAATACAAAGACAAAGAGGATTACTAGACAGGAGCTGATTGGCTCCCCCAAACCAGGACTCCGCCCACATCAGGCAGCTTGGTCTCTGAGGAGCTTACAATTCCACCCTCAAGGGAACTAGGAAATGGCTCCTCTGATCTCCTACCAGGTCATTTCTTTATTCATGGACCTTAGTCAGAGAGTGAGGAAACAACCAGAACTGTCTTTTATAGGAGGAACAGTGATGAGGGGATTATAGGGACGAGGGTCCCCCCACCCCCTCTATCACTCATCGCCATCTTCCCAACACAAGAAGTACTGCACTTCCTTATTTAGTTCATGATTTAGTCATGAAGAAACAGCGGGGCTGAGCCCCACCAGAGGTCAGAGAGTGAGGATGGGGGGAGAACAACCAAGATGAAGACTGGACTGATCCTGAAGACCACCATCATTGGAGTATTGACTCCAATAGCAATGTTTTCCTATGTTTATATATAGCAGTTGGAAGAAGATCAGGAGTATGTAATGTACAACATAGAGTATATAGTGCTGGGGTCAGGAGTATGTAATGTACAACATAGAGTATATAGTGCAGGGGTCAGGAGTATGTAATGTACAATATAAATTTATACAGTGTAAGGGTCAGGACTCATAATATTGGTATTCAGTAATCAGTGGAAGCTTAAATGTTTACTGTAGACAAGTTGCAGAGATCCCACACCGCTGCCTCCCATCTCCTGAGACTGCACTCAGTGACTTGGGTCTGAGACACTACAGACATATCCCTCCCACCCGGCACAGCCAGCAGACCACAGAGCAAGGAACCCTGGAGAAATGATCGGTCAGAGATCTTACTAGACCCGGGCATGGGGAGAAGACCCAAAGCACACACCCCAGGTGCCTAGGTCTAGTAATGTCTATGGTGAAATGAACATTTTGCTGCCAGCTGAACCCCAGAACCTCCATAAATCCAGTCTAGATACATAAATTGTGTCTGCAGCACAGAGAAGGAAGATTATCCGAGAGAAATCCAGGAATACAGGACGGGGAACACAGCTCAGGAAAGTGACCAGGGGATTACAGGCTGATATCACCCAGTCCCCGCCCTACTCTGGACCAATCAGTGAGCAGTATGGGTGGAGGAATGGATTTAGTGTTCATGACCCACTGTGCTGATCTCTGTAGGAGTGTCCTCCTCTATAAATGTCCCCGTTATTCCATCCTCCTCCATAGACTGCTGATCATCCCTCACATACGCCTCTTCTTCTTCTGCTTTCACCTCAAATTCTATATCGATTGGATCTCCACTCTAAATCAAGGAAATGAGAGAAAATATCATCTGTAAAATATAAGGTCACATAAAAATATCCACATATTGTCTTCATCAGTCCATGTTCTAGATTCTCCATCCCACCAACCTTGTAATAGTGAGGGATGGTGTGACCTTCCTGTGTGGAATCCCGGGAATACAGAGGACGGGGACATCTCTCTGGTGGGTTCCTGGTATTAGGTGGCTCCATCATCTCCTTGTGTCCTTCTGAAAACTCCTCCATCACTCCATACTCCTCATCCTCCTCTTTATACTCTTCTTTAACATCAATATTATCATCCCCGAGGATTCCACTCTGAAAGATATAATAAAACATTCATTGTAACAAACATGCTGTGTATAAATCACAACTACCAATAATTGTCATCATCTACCTGATGATGGTGAGGGATGGTGTGACCTTCCTGTGTGGAATCCCGGGAATACAGAGGACGGGGACATCTCTCTGGTGGGTTCCCATGACTGGATCCATCTGTAGGAAACACACACACTGACTGAATCCATTGTTTCTATGTGTTTATCAGATGATGGGGGATCTAGGTGGATCCTCCGTACTGCTCTCTCCTTTACAATAAAGTCTCCTCTTACCCGGTGATGTGAGGGGCGGCTGATTGTCCATCATGACGTCCTTGTAGAGATCCTTGTGTCCTTCTAAATACTCCCACTCCTCCATGGAGAAATAGACAGTGACACCCTGACACCTTATAGGAACCTGACACACACAATGATACAGTCACCATCCAGACACATCCCTTGTCTGTTACTGGAGAATGTCCCAGAATTCCCGGCACCGCTCACCTCTCCTGTCAGCAGCTCAGTGATCTCTCTGGTGACTTCTAGAATCTTCTTCTTCTTTCTCTCTTCTATCAGGGAGGGAGGTGGAGGCAATGTGATGTCATATGATCTCCAGACTTCACAGGAGGAAAACTCTACATCTGAACACAAATAGTCACATCAAATGATATTCCCAGAATCCTCCTCACCTCTCCATTCAGGTCTCCATTTTATTAAAGCCCCCACTTCAGGCTGAGGTATAATTCCCCCCCACAGGACCCCCACACTACGCAGGGTATAGGCTTGTTGCAGCATTCTGATATCATTACATACAACGCAGGACCAACAGTCCCACTTTACATGTGAGGATACCAAGGGGCCCCACATCCTAAGAGCATCAGAAAAATGTCAGATGGAGGGACATTGGGGGGAGGAGCTGTGAGGTCAGTGTGATGTCATAGGATTCTCTGACTCCAGATGGAGGGACATTGGGGGGAGGAGCTGTGAGGTCAGCAGTGTGATGTCATAGGATTCTCTGACTCCAGATGGAAGGACATTGGGAGGAGGAGCTGTGAGGTCAGTGTGATGTCATAGGATTCTCTGACTCTGGTTGGAAGGACATTGGGAGGAGGAGCTGTGAGGTCAGTGTGATGTCATAGGATTCTCTGATTCTGGATGGAGGGACATTGGGAGGAGGAGCTGTGAGGTCAGTGTGATGTCATAGGATTCTCTGACTCCGGTTGGAGGGACATTGGGGGGAGGAGCTGTGAGGTCAATGCACTCTGGAGACTTTACTGATCACATTTTAGGATGAATATCTGTGTCATCATTCTGAAGACATATTCTTTCAGGACATTATTATTATTATTATACAGGGTTTATGGCGCCAACAGTTTGCTCAGCGCTTTACACTATAACGGGAGACAATACAGCAACAATACAGTTCAATACAAGAGGGAAGGAGGGCCCTGATGCCTGGAGTTTACAATGTAAGAGGGAGGGGCTAATGGTACAAATAGTAGTAACTGTGGGGGATGGACTGGTTGGAAGATTAGAAGATTCCATTATTAGCTGAAGGCAGGATAGGCTTCCTGAATAGAAACAGGTTTTCAGAGATCACCTAAAACTGAGCAGAGTAGGCAAATAGTCTGATAAATTGGGGTAGAGAGTTCCAAAGGATGGGGGAAGCTGGGAGAAGTCCTGGAGACGAACATGGGAGGAGGAGACAAGGGAGCTAGAGAGCAGGAGGTTGTGCGGGGAACGAAGAGTACAGTTTAGGTGATATTTGGAGACAAGGTTGGTCATGTAATTTTGGGCAGAGTTATAAATGGCTGTGACGGGAGTCACTTTGGGTGGGAGGCCCATGGAACACAGCTCACATTGGAGAGGTGGGGAGACCCCTGTTTCAGCTCCCCATATCCCTATTATGTATAAGTCACCCCGTGCAAATTAGGGGTACAGGATGATCTGTTCTAATATTGTGTGGGGGTTGTTGATTGTTAAATGCCATGTGGTTGCATCCCATTGTTCTGTTGTGTGTCTTGCTTGGGAGCAAACTATTATGGGATGTATGTGTTTGTGTATTGGCTTGGTAGGGGGGTGTTTCCAGCAGCCCTTCCTCCTGATGGGACTGTCTGTTGGTGTGTTTTTTGTTACTAAATGTAGATTGCCCCGCCCTATGTCATTATGCAGGGAGGGGGGGTTGTTCCCTTGAATGTTTATATTTTGTATCTGTGTTAAATTAAAGTAGTCTATTTCCTGGTTTACTTCAAGACTGGTGTCTAGTCATGTATGGTCTGCTGTGGTGTCTGTGGTCAGTGTTCAGACAGGGAAGCGGTATCCTAACGGAAGTACCCAAGTGCAGTCTGGGGACGGTTCCATTACAATGGCTTCATATGTTATTGTTAACTTTTTGAATTTTAGCAGTTGGGCAATGGGAAGCCAGTGGAGGGATTGGCAGAGAGGGGTGGAGGACACTGAGTGGAAGCCAGTGGAGGGATTGGCAGAGAGGGGTGGAGGACACTGAGTGGAAGCCAGTGGAGGGATTGGCAGAGAGGGGGTGGAGGACACTGGAGGCCAGTGGAGGCCAGTGGAGGGATTGGCAGAGAGGGGTGGAGGACACTGAATGGAGGCCAGTGGAGGGATTGGCAGAGAGGGGTGGAGGACACTGAGTGGAGGCCATTGGAGGGATTGGTAGAGAGGGGTGGCAGATACAGAGTGGTTAGTAAGGTGGATGAGTCTGGCAGCAGCATTTATGATAGACTGAAGAGGGGATAGCCTGCGATGAGGTAGGCCAATGAGGAGGGAGTTACAATAGTCAAGGCGAGATATAACAAGGGAGTGAATAAGTTGCTTAGTGGTTTCTGAGGTTAGGAACGGGCGTATCTTGGAGATGTTGTGGAGGTGAAGTCTACAAGATTTGGACAGTGATTGGATTTGGGACTGAAAGGACAGATGGGAGTCTAGGATTACACCTAGTACCCTGGCATGAGGGGAGGGACTGATGGTTGTATTATTGATCTTGATGGAGAAGTCAGGGGAGGGGGTACGGGCTGGAGGGAATATAAGAGCTCAGTTTTGGAAAGATTGAGTTTGAGGAAGTGGAGTGACATCCATGCCGATATGTCACTTTTTAGGTTAGTAATTAGCGAGAAGAGACTGAAGGGGTGAGGTGAGAAGGAGACTGAAGGGGTGAGGAAGGGGAGGGTGAGGTGAGGGGTAGAAAGATAGATTTGTGTGTCATCAGCATAGAGATGGTACTTAACACCAAGGGAGGTTATCAAGTGACCATGGGAGGAGGTGTAGATAGAGAAGAGAAGGGGTCCAAGGACAGAACCTTGAGGGACTCCTACAGAAAGAGGGAATGAAGAGGAAGAGCCAGAGTTATAGGTAACGCTAAAGGAGCTCTGTGATAGGTAGGAGAGAGAACCAGGAGAGAGCAGAGTCTTGGAGGCCAAGAGAGTGGAGTTTTTTGAGGAGGAGTGGATGGTCAATAGTATCAAAAGCCACAGAGAGGTCAAGTAGTAAGAGTAAGGGGTAGCGGCCATTGGTTGGGATGAGTATGGATTAGCGGCCATTGGTTGGGATTAGTATGGAGTAGTGGCCATTGGTTGGGATGAGTATGGATTAGTGGCCATTGGTTGGGATGAGTATGGATTAGTGGCCATTGGTTGGGATTTGTATGGAGTAGTGGCCATTGGTTGGGATGAGTACAGAGTAGTGGCCATTGGTTGGGATGAATACGGAGTAGTGGCCATTGGTTGGGATGAGTACGGAGTAGTGGCCATTGGTTGGGATGAGTACAGGAGTAGTGGCCATTGGTTGGGATGAGTATGGAGTAGTGGCCATTGGTTGGGATGAGTACGGAGTAGTGGCCATTGGTTGGGATGAGTATGGAGTAGTGGCCATTGGTTGGGATGAGTATGGTGTAGTGGCCATTGGTTGGGATTAGTACAGAGTAGTGGCCATTGGTTGGGATGAGTACGGAGTAGTGGCCATTGGTTGGGATGAGTATGGAGTAGTGGCCATTGGTTGGGATGGGTACGGAGTAGTGGCCATTGGTTGGGATGAGTACGGAGTAGTGGCCATTGGTTGGGATGAGTACGGAGTAGTGGCTATTGGTTTTAGCAGTTAGTAGATCATTAGTGAGGTTTAGTAGGGCAGTTTCAGTGGAGTGTAGTGAGCGAAAGCCAGACTGTAAAGGGTCAAGAAGGTTGTTGTCAGTGAGGTGGGAGCTCAGGTGATTGTAGACTAAGCATATATATACAATATGCAGTGCTAGAGAAGACAAAATATAAAATACAAAATATAAAATTCATATGAGAGTAGCAAAAATTGTCAGTGTGACACTAGTAATGTATCACAGAAATATCATCATCGTCTTTGGGGTAGATAACCCAGAAATTAGTAATGAATTCCGTATAAATAGGTATGATGATAAAACAGCACATTGAGATTAGTACAAGTGTATATTGTGAAGTGACAGTCAATGATACATAATTTAGTTGGCAGCCGTGACTTCGGTGATATGGTGAGTAAGT